TTTTTTTGCTTTCTTCGCTTAGGACATCATTTATAACCATAACTGCTATGCATTTTCGTTTCTTTGCGCGTTGTAAGAATGCAGCCATAATGATTTCAAGCAAAATGGCGGATAAACAAACACTAAGTTTGAAAGGTATTGTGGGTATATTTAGTCCAAGGATCCTTTGTATTGTCTTCATAATGCCCAAGATGTTGGGACTTGTTGGGACCGTTTGAACCCAATCGCCAACATTATCCAACAACTGCCTACAATGTTCGGTGTAGTTGCGCGCGTTTGCTCGGGCCTTTACATTGAACTTTCTGATCTTTTCTGCGTTTCTTGTTTCTAAGACTAGAGCCATCACCTACAATGATTAGGAGAACTATTTATAGATTGGTTATTATGATTGCTGGGTAAGGATTAGTCTGCTGAATAAATTAACAATTTTAACTCAGGAGATTTGCAACTTACACAGTCAAGTGAAAAGTAAAAGAAATGCCAATCTTACAGTACCTTTTCCTGCTATTGGCATTGGAATTTAAGCTTCTTCCAATCTTGTAGTTTCTCATTATCATCGTTTACTGTAGAGAAAGTTCAAACATCAAAGGTACATAATTATTTATCAGTTCTGAAATCAGTTTTAACCCGAAATAGTTTTGCATAACATACTTAATTACTGCCTGGAAATTATTTTTGTTAAATTGATACCTTGATTCTAAAAAAAAGTTTCTCTGCAATAGCAAACAGCTCTTTGATGTGTTGCAGAATTTTGAAGGTGACCAGAACCTCTGATCTGATAGCTTTCCTAGTTGCAACAGAATTTAAGAGGCAATGTCTGTAAATATCAAACATCCCACGGCCACGATTTTGTTCATATTTGGTTCAAAGATGTGGAACACCCTCGAAATAAACATCTGACCTCTTACCAATGACATTGCAAAAATTTTCTTCTTGTCTTGAATCTTCCACCAAACAAGTGTGTTGTGGTAAGAATGTCCTCAACCGCACGCAATCCCCACCACAGTTGGTGAGAAACTACTTGGGTTCATTTCATTTTTACTCAATGCTCTTTTAACCAAAAACTGTAAAATATCACATTTTTCATGTTTATTACTTTGTTATACCAAACATCCGTGGTAATAATTGTAATGACTATCTGTAATTCACTACGTTGAAAACAATGGTACCTGCCTACTGAATTGGTCTTAAAATGTTTTAAAATTTCCAAGGACATTTAGCCTACGGACATCGTTAAAACTTACTGCACTGACTGAAAGGATCTGAAAATAGAGTTTTAGATTGACTTTTTTCCTTCCAGCAAACGGCAAAGGTGACCACGTTTTCATCGTTTTCCTGTATTTTACTTAACCTCTTGCAAATTTTCATTTCACAAACAAATATTCTTTTGTTTTTCTACTATTTTGCGATTCCTTTTCAGTTATTTAAAAGATTTTTTCACTGATCAACTGACGTTACACGTTTGCCGTGAACGTCAATCTAAAACTCTCTAATGTACACAGAAAATTCCAAGGACATTCAGCCTATGTACATAGTAAGAATTGACATGAACAACCAACAGGGTCTCAAAATGTCCACGGAAATTTCCAAGGATATTCTACTTATGTATATGGTAAGAATTCACATGAACAACCAAAAAGGTCTGAAAATGTCGACGGAAATTTCCAAGGACATTCTACTTATGTACATGGTAAGAATTCATATGAACAAATTACTGGGTCTGGCTCGTAGTAATTACTGCCTACATTTTGCCTATAGATATACAGGGCAAACAAGGACACTATTGGCAGAGTATGTATATTAAACGGTCTGATTTCATTTTAGTGTTCTAAGGTATACAATTAAACATTTTCGTCAGTTTCAAAACACAGGAGCCAAAAAATTATCAGAAGCAATAAGAAACCGCCTATTGTTATTAAAATTTCTTTGTTTCTTATTGTGAGCGAGTTTCATTAAAGGCCAAGAAACCTTTCAAGATACCTTTCCTACTGGTCAAACGGGGACAAATTGAAAACCGAGACCATTGTTTTACTATATTATATGAGAAAAAGGTTCAACTCTCAAGCTGTCCACGAAAAAGTTTGATGTGCTTTTTTACTTACCGAATTCAGTTACCGAATAATAAATTTTATACTTTAATGTCTACTTAAATATTTGAATTCCTCCTTAAGAAATATATTTTGACAAAATAATAAAGGAATCTTTGAAGTCAGCCATTAATCTTACAAACCAGATGTTGAAGGTGGATATTTRTTAAACGTGCTGGTAGCCTGCTGTGGATTTGGGGGCAAGGAAGGGAATGGCACACTTGGACATCCTTGCATTTCTTGTATAAAGGATGGTCTTGGCTGCTGCTGGTGGTAACTTGAAGCCCCTGGATTGAACATTGAACTTTGGGACAACATACTAAAGAGCTGTGCTTCATGTTGGCGCTGCCTTTCCATTTCATCTTTCATAAAGTCCAACAAATGTTTTGTTGGATCATTGGTAATGACCTCCTTTATCATGCTTAGCACTTGTTGGTTGGTATCTTCTGCTGTTGCCTTCCTCTTCCTACCTGACTTTACTGGAATAAATTGCTTGGTTCCATTTTGTTCTTCAGATTCGCTCTCAATTGTAGCTGATGGTTCCCTGGCCATTTCCGGCTGGCATGAGTCCCTAGACCTCACAATCGGGTAGAGCTGGTCAAACCACTTACCATAACCTTTGGAATCAGCAAATCGCTTGACTCCTGTGGCTGTTTTAATTGTGAGTGCAGCCTTCTYACACTCAGCAAYACATTTCTTAAATTTGTTTCTTATTTGAGTGATGTTAAAGGAAATGTTTTCATCTCGCTCCAAAGCTCTCCTCTTCAGCTCCCTCAGGACTGCCTCATATACTTTGCTATTCTTCTGGTTTTTTACATTGACAAAGATGAGGTTCCTCTTGTAGTTCTTACTGTTGACGATGATATCAATGAGGTCATCCGGCCTTATTCCCTACTTTTTTACTGTCAAACTCAGGATCATCTGTTTCTTTCTCTTCTTCTGATAGCTGATCTAACTCGTAATCTACCTCATCATTTACTTCAGTCACAGAACTGCTAAGGAAACATAACAGTATAGAAAAGTGGTTTGTTAGACATGTCATATGGAGTAATCAAAAAAACCATGAGAATATTGTATTGTACTAACTAAACCCATACTACAGTCTCTTTATGAATGAGTGCTAATTAGAAGTTGATTTTAGTATATAGATCTTATAAAGATGTTACATTACATTCGCAACTTGCAAAATATACACCTGTATTACACGAAAAAAAATCTTATGAGCTATTTATTATACAACAAAGTTTTCTTCAAGATTTTATTACAAATAAATAGAGAAGAGTGAATGCTTTTTTAAGAAAAAAATTTTAAGGAAGCAAATGTAGTGCTGTCAAAAGGTGTAATATGGCTGGATATTTGCACTCTACTTTGACCATACATGGTAAAATGATGTAAAAGTCGTATAATAATTGCACTCTACTACAGTGTGATGAACAAGAGGGAAGTATGTCTCCTATTAGGCATTAACAAATCATCCCAAAATGTAGTTCTATATAGTGAGTGGTACTGTAAGTGACCAAATATGATTATTAACCATTGTAGTTTAAAGTATCACTTCAATGAAATGTTAATGTATCAACATTGCACCTTTTACACATGTGTAAGTGGTATACAAAAGAAGAAAACTGRCAGTTATGCAAGTGATTTTTTTTTTTGCAATTTATATTCATTTGATAATGCAGATTATAATTTGGCAACTTTAAAAGCTCATTTGGACCTGCCTGAACTAAAAGTATCCCAATCYAAACTTAAATTTAACCTAATTATAACCATTATCATTGAAGTATACTATGATGTTGAGCTATTGTGGAGATTATCCTAGAAGAAGAAGAAGAAAAAAAAAGAAATCAGAGACTTAAGTTATTGATATATGTTTACAATATTAATGTTGTCAAGCGTAACAAAAAATTTTCTAGATTTACACACATGTCGTTTAATCGGCTCTTGAGCACAGATATCCTTTAGATTAGTTGTAGTATTTATTTTGTTTCATTTTGGATGGTCATGTAAAATATTTTCACTGACAATTTCATTCATTTGTTTTGATTCTCCCGACTCCAGAAGAAGTTCATGTTTAATAAGTTTCCTTGATTTATCTACATGGAAGTTTAATAAGTAAATAAATAACACGACTCGTTTTGGCAGTGCTTACCTTCCAACTCCAGGTTTGTCTTTCCTTTTCTCCTCAAAACAGACCTGACAGTACCCTACCGACTTTCCCATTGTCCAAACGGGTGTGTTTTCATCATTCTCGAATAATGTACATTCACAGCAGAAGGGCATAGCGCACGATAAACAAAAATACTTTGTGCCCTTAAAGCACGAAGAGCACATATCATCCGCCATCTTAGATCTCTCAAGACCGTATCGCGCATACTCATTACCAAATACCGTCGCTTTTTAGGTCCGGGCTCACCTTATTTTAATGTATGCATTTGATTTGGCACAACAGGAGCTCGACGTTTGAATCAGTGTCGAACTTTTGCCGTGCGGCTCGACTGGCACGGTCGAGCTCAGTACTGTGTCAAACCTAATCCTGTTGTGCCGAACTTAATTGATTCATACGTCGAGCCTTTTATGTGCCAAATAGATACTATTAGGTTCGGCACATGAAAAGCGTGACGTATGAATCGGGCCTTAGTGTTTTTATCGAGACAGAGACATGATCAAAATACAACATATTCTTTGCTACGTCGTTATTATTTTATCTAGCCTTTATACAACTTAAGCGTTGGTTTGGGAGCCGTGAAACGTGTGATGAGTCTACTAAGAAAATATGGAAAAGATAGTGGCATTGCCATATAGCTGAAGGAGAATATAAACTCTAAAGACTGCATGGGTTCGAGCTTTGGTATTGTTACTGTTTAAAAGACCACATTATTGGATGTACGTTAGCATCAAGTGGAAACGTTGATCATACACTTGTATACAATTTCCAGCAAAATAAATTGAAATGATAGATTTCCCAGTAATGGAAATGAAATTTATTTCATACGTACTAAGATTTATCCACGATAAAAAGCCCGCGTAAAATTCGTACCAAATATGCATTCAACCAATCAGAAAAGAGAACGACTATTTTTCACTCTCGTTCGTCCAATCAGAAGCGTGAACGATTGTGCTTCATTTTGGCATCCGAAATATCAATCAAAAGATACTC